CTGAAAGACAGCACAGAGGCACAAGATCCATAGAGGCTGGGATCTATCACATCAGGCAAGACCCCAGGTGGGGGCTGTGTAAAGATGCCCCTGAGCCAATCCAGCACTTAACAGCACGGTGCAACATGCTAGTAGGCAGGGCATACATGGAACGCCATAACCAAGTGGCCGGCATAGTATACAGAAGTATACGCTGACCTCCTCAGTTTGTATGTTCCTAGCTGTGCCTTACGATCATCTGGTCAGCTACTCCTGACTCAACCTAGGCACCGCCTGAAGACTAGGGGTGATTGGGCCTTTGTCTCTGTTGCAACAAATCTCTGGAATAGTCTCCCTGTTACCATGTGTGCCTCCGACTCCATTCAATCTTTTAAAGCATGCTTGAAAACGTATTTATTCAAACTGGCATTTCCGACATGCTAAACTTTACCTCTTACTAATTGCTGTATCATTATTCATTTTGACATTTTCTGGATACTCTGAATTTTCCCTACTTCTATCTTTTAATGCTTCTGTCTTTCATTTAATCTAATTTGTTTTAATGACTTACTGGTTTTGTTATCATTAACTGTTTATTGTGTTATTGTGAAGCACTTTGGTATATCCTTGGTTTTAAATGTGCTATAAAAATAAACCTGTATTGTATTGTATTGTATACTAAGAAGTATACAAGATCAAAATGGGAGACGCCTCTTGGGGTGGTCGAGAATGACTGAGCTAAGATCCTGTGGGACTTCCTGATAAAGATGGACAAAATGTTGGCTAACCAACCAGACGTAGTAGTGGTAGACAAGCAGAAGAAGACGGCTGTAGTGATAGATGTAGTCATACCGAATGACAGCAACATCAGGAAGAAGGAACACGAGAAGCTGAAGAAGTACCAAAGGCTCAGAGAAGAGCTCGAGAAGATGTGGAGGGTGAAGGCAACAGTGGTCCCAGTGGTAATTGGAGCACTAGGTGCAGTGACTCCCAAGCCAGGCGAGTGGCTCCAGCAGATCTCAGGAACAACATCTGCGATCTCTGTCCAGAAGAGCGCAGTCCTAGGAACAGCTAAGATACCGCACAGGACCCTCAAGCTCCAAGTCCTCTGGTAGGACCCGAGCCTGAAGGAAATAAGAACAGGGCCCTGTTGGAATGCTACTCCGTTTCCAGCAGAAGAGGTTATTTGACTAGGATGTGGGACCTGTGGAACCTTCGATACCCAGCATCCAGACTGACAGCAAAACAACTAATAGCTTGGTGTTCCAACATTGAGTAGAAGGAACTGCTTTCACAGCTAGAGATCCATAAGGTATAGCACAAATGCTATGGCAAGGGAGGGCCAGGACAACAGGTCAGGAGGGAGATATTACCTCCACCCGAGATTGAGTACCAGGCCCCAAGTACGATGGAAGAAGGAGCACTGAGTGCGAGTGTAGCTGACCAGAACGGAGGATCATGGTGAAACTGGAAACCTGGACCCTCTGTAGTTGGTTACCAAGACTACATGAAGTACCCTCTGAAAGTCTACTAGAAGATGTGAATGCAGCACTAAGGAAAATTCCTACTGCAAACAGCAAGCTGCCCATATCTGAGGCCTTAGAAACTGCCAAGCAAATACTCACAGCCTTGGCTAACCACTTGAAAAGGTATAGCAGGAGAATAAACCAGCTGTTCTCCACGGACACATCCAAGGTGTACTCTCAATAGCAAGGGAACAATATAAGAACAGCATCACCAAGGCTGGAGACGGAGCAGTATTGGAAGAGCATATGGGAGAAGGATGCAACCTAAAAGAACAATGATCAGTGGCAAGTAGATCTAAGAGCAGTATGAAAAGGAAAAAAAAAACAAAACAAAAACGCTTGGACACCGCTAGCATAATTGACAGGTTTTTGACGGGGCTTCCACACAAACGCAAAGCAGGAGATGAAGCATCGCCAAATATGTTTCCAAACCAACCAGCGCGAACATTTTTCTTGTAAAACAAAGGGGGGCCTAGCAAAAAAAGTTTGAGAACCACTGTATTAGAGGAACTTAAGCAATGCCACTCCCTAAAAAGCTAAGAACAAATAAATACTGCATATTTAAAAAAAAAAAAACTTTTATAAGTAAGTTTGCTTTAGAATGAGGTCTTCCCAGACATAACGCTATTTGACCATGCTAATGTTTTATGACCACACACACTTACACTGACACACACAGTAGTTTAGCCCCTAATGAACAATTAGAAATAAGAGGCTGGGCTTTTAGTGCTAATGTAGCCAAGGTAGAGTAATGTGATGCCTTTGGGTTGATAACACTCTGTGGGTGTGTGTTTTCTGGTGTGTGCAAATGCATGCGTGTGGTCTAAAAACTGCCCAGGCTGAGAAACAATCATAGGGGGAAAAAGCTGCATTAAAGTCCAGTAGAAAGGGTGAAAAAAAAAATTATTAATCAATCCAACAAAACTGTCTTTCATACTTTTCAGTGTTTCAGTAAACTAAATGAGTTGTGCCGTGTCTATAACAGTTTTGATGTTTAATTCATAGTCTGCTGACTTTTTTTCCTTTTAATTACACTGTGATCCCTATATGCAAAATCTTTAAAAAATAATTAAAGATAACAAAGAGAGCAAAAAAAGGACAAAGAGGACTGGCTGGAAAAGGAAAAGAAGAAGATAATGTTAATAATGCTCAGTATTAAGCAGTAGACACAAAGTTGGAAGGGTGGAGTCAAGGGCAAGCTTAGAGGAGCAGTGTACTGAATAGGAGCGAGGCAGGCAGGCTAATGTAATCAAATGCCATTGATTTAGTTATAGCTATAACAGCTTCTAATGTGCATCTGGATATACTGGAGAGAAATCTTGGAGGAAAATCTTTTACATTATGTTACTGATGTTCATCATTTTCAGATTCTAAAATCAGCTCAAATGTTTTTATATGGTGGCACGGTGGTTAGCACTGTTGCCGCACAGCAAAAAGGTCCTGAGTTCAATTCCACCATCAGGCCGGGGTCTTTCTGTGTGGAGTTTGCATGTTCTCCCCGTGTTTGCGTGGGTTCCCTCCGGGTACTCCGGCTTCTTCCCACCGTCCAAAGACATGCAGCTTGTGGGGATAGGTTAATTGGATAACCCAAATTGTCACTAGGTGTGAATGTGCGAATGGTTGTCTGTCCCTGTGTGTTGGCCCTGCGACAGACTGGCGACCTGTCCAGGGTGTACCCTGCCTCTCGCCCTATGACAGCTGGGATAGGCTCCAGCGCCCCCCGCGACCCTGAAAAGGATAAGCGGAAGCGAATGGATGGATGGATGTTTTTATATGTTTATATATATATATATATCCAAATTGGATACGTACTACCAAATTAGTGCTCAGATGCAGAAGTAAAGAGATGGATGATGGTTGCATAAAAGAAAATGTAATGGTGTTATGAACTGCAGTGATAAAGACCTGTGATGAACAGATGCTTGAGAGTCTGCTGACTAATCTTATAGAATGACTGCCCTCTGGAGGACATCGGCACACATTACTGCATTGAAATAATCCAGTCTCTCTGCACCATAGTTTGTGCTTGGTCTTCATTCTAACAGCTCTCTATGCTCCTCTTTTGTCTTTTCCTTCTACTTCCCTTCACCCCAACAGGTTCTGTATTAGATTTCTCCTGTCTGTAAGCCTGGATCTACAGGAGATTTATTGCAGAACTACTTTTTAAAGCTGAAACAACTAAAGATTTCCATTAAAACGAATAAATTATTGGCCAAAGTGACAGGCTTTGGTGACACAGGCAACATAACACATCCAAATCAAAATTTCTCATAGACCACATATGAAGAACATCTAAAAACAGAGCAGGCCTACTGGAGTGACTGTTATATCAGTTTTCCAGCTGCCACATAAGAAAAAAGTGAGTAAATTAATGTAAAAAAACAGAACTCTCAAGCCACAGGATGAATTTAATACTACTGACCCGCAGTCATGGATGGATTACTGTGACTGTGGGTCTTAAACACAAACTTGCCATGGGTCCTTGTTGTCTACTCATGCAAATACCAGGCACAACATATGCCCTTGTCAAAAGACAGTTTTATTGCACATAACAAGGCAACTTACATCCACATTTATCTTGTAGTTGTTGACATGTTAAATTACTGCTATTATGACTACTGCTACATATAACTCGTGCAGGACAATTTACCCCGAGGCACCAACAGGAAGCTTTCAATAGTCTTAACTGTGTAAGTCAGTAAAATGTTAAAATCAAGCACTAAAGGTGATGACAAAGGACACCGGTGGCATAGTACTAGCAGTGCTGCTCTATTGCTAATGCTTGTTTTAAAGCTAAAGTCCTGTTTATTTTGATACATTTTTTGAAAATCCCTTATATTAAAAAAAATAAAGCAATGATAATGTACACAACTTAAGGTAAAAGCCACTGGCTCCAAGGTATGTTCCCAATTTGCACAAACAGCAGTCTGTCCATAGAAGTAGTCTGTATTATGTTCCAGTTATACAGAATAACTGGAACACCGTATGGGATTGCACGGCTTCAGTAACAAGTTAAGATGAGAGCTTTATTTCCCTTCTGGACATTGTAAAAATTGTTAGACGTACTTACACAGGATTGTGTGTCAGTGTTTTGGATTATTTTATCATCAAAGTCATCCATGTCCACAGATGTTGTCTCTGTCTGCAAACGGAAGGCACAACTAACATGCAGCATCAAACTATTCAGCCATGCATTTAGCTTGCTTCAGCTATCAGTTAAGTATGAATGGCCTATAAGTATGATGCTAAAGGTTAGTTTGTAAATTACTTCACACCATTATTTTTCTAATGATACTTGTATAAATAATTAAATGCAAAAACTAAGGGAAGAATTATAATGATGTCCATGCTGTTTTCTTATTTAATAATTCAGACATACTTCCTGCACACATACAGCATATTGCCCAGGAACGAGTCTCACCTTGGATTTCCTCCTGCTGAACTGGAAGATACCCAGGAGGCCTTTTTTTTCTGGTCGGTCCAAACTGCCAGTACTGGAGCGAACAAAGTCTAAAAAAGTAAAACAAGAGCAGGAGGAGGAAAGTAACGTAAGCACCTTATAATTAAAGAAAGGGAGAAAAGAAAAAAGGAAAGACATGTTTTTTTCTGCATGCAAAAGTTAACGAAAAGGTTAACATATGGTTATAAGGTTAACAGAAAAAAATAGTGGTTTTTCAAACAGTCAGTCAACTCTAAATATTACTCCAAACGGATACCTTTGTTTTAAAAGCAATAAATTAACCTTCCAGTTTTGCTCAGCAGAGGGAGCTGCAGCTTTGCTTTTCCTCAGGTTCACCTCTACCCAAACTTGATAATCAGCTAAGCAGTAAGTAAGAATGTGTTGTGATAAAACTACAGACTCAAGGACTGAGAGGGAAGGTAAACTAACTATCAAACATTTAAGGGCTAATACACATAATTTGGGTTCTGAAAAGGGGCAGAAGCAAGCCAATTTATTAATAAAGCCTTTAAAAATTGTAGGCATTGATGTTCACACAGGTTATCAAAAGTACATAAAGCAACAAATGATTTCTTTTAATATGGCTGGTTAATGGTTAATATCCAATGCAGCAACAACGCAGGGTTAATAAGCAAGCAGCGATACATTGGGTTAAACAACCACATGTATTTGAATGGTGCCAACGCTAAGACAGACAATACATACGTCTAATACCTGTGTAGTTAAGTGCAGGGGCAGAAGCCATTTTAGGCTGGAAAGCTGCAAAACATAATAAAGTTTAAAAACACAAACGCCATTAATGGATAACTCATCTACATGACAGAGCGGCTGTGCTTGTGCTTTCGTGTCACAGCACAGCCGATGCGCTACGTAACTACTGATTCACAAGAGGAAGTCATTTATATATCCATCCATTCGCTTCCGCTTATCCTTTTCAGGGTCACGGGGGGCGCTGGAGCCTATCCCAGCTGTCATAGGGCGAGAGGCGGGGCACATCCTGGACAGGTCGCCAGTCTGTCACAGGGCCAACACACAGGGACAGAAAACCATTCGCGCTCACATTCACTCGCACATTCCCACCTAGTGACAATTTGGATTATCCAATTAACCTATCCCCACAAGCTGCATGTCTTTGGACGGTGGGAGGAAGCCGGAGTACCCGGAGGGAACCCACGCAAACACGGGGAGAACATGCAAACTCCACACAGAAAGACCCCTGCCTGATGGTGGAATTGAACCTTCTTGCTGTGCGGCAACAGTGCTAACCACCGTGCCACCGTGCTGCCCTCATTTATATAATTGCCTCATAATAATGAAAGTAAACTACATTACTACTATGTTTTCAAAAGGGTAGGACTCTGTGTAAAATGTAACTGAAAACATGATGCGGTGATTTGGAAAGGATTCGAACCCTACAGTTTACCAAAAACATTTTAGCATACCAAATGCTGAGAAAGAAACGTTTAAAGGGAAACTGGGTGGCCTTGTTGATTACCAAAATCTTGCACAAGAGTGCTTGACCATAAAAGTGACATAATGTTCTACTGTTCCCTTGTCACATCACTTAAGTGATAAAATACACGTTTTTACTGTGAGATCACAAGAAAACCTTTAACTATAAATATCAGTGGGTGTGGACAATCGCGCAGTAAACAACCATAACTTCATACTACATGAAGGATCACAAATGCCCCTCAGGTGAATTATGTATTAATACAAAGGCCGTACATAATTCATAAAAGCTCACTATTTCAGCCGTTGCATGGACAGGATAACAGCAGATACTGTGAGACAATAGTAGGGCAAGCCAAAGCACACACCAGTATCCACAATAACATCCTTTGTCTGCTTAAATTTCACATCATCCATCATCATCTTAAGTGTTACATCCTATGTTTACCAGATAGTTTTATTCAGCACAGCAAAGCATTATTTTATCTTTTAAAAAGTTAATACAATTTTGAATATATGTACAGACACTCGCTTTAAAGTGACTGGAGTTAGAGGTGAAATGTGTAAGATTTAAGTATGTGCTTAACAAGTCCCCTAGAATTTTAAACGCTCTTTTTCTACAACAGCAGTCACCTGATGTTATTATGTGACCTGCAAAAAACTGGGGCTACAGCACAGACAGAGGGCTCCAACCCTCTTTCTCTCTGTTTTAGACAGTGCATTTGAGCAAGGTGGAGAGCAAGCAGCTGACAGATGCAAAGATCAGCACAGTTGCACAGTACTTTGATGAAGAAAACGATGAGCAGTTGTACGTCTGTGGTGTCAGAGTAAAGTGGCATATAACCACCAAAGTAACCAAAGTGATGTGTAACCACATGCAGCACAGAAGCGTGAACGCTAACCTGGAAGGAAGGAGGGTTATCGGTGCTAGTACTGTAGACTTTAGCCACATTCAGGAAACTAATCTGGCAATCTGTGTCTGCTTAGATATATAGGATTTGCAACATTATAGATGGCACAGACATTTCAGCGACATCTAAAACAAAATACAATTATTAAGGAACCCGATTAAGAGTTTATCTAAACAATGTGAAAATTGAACAACTGAGATTTATTCTCAAAGACAGTTATAATAGATGTATCTACTGAATATAGGATGCTAACCCGTCTATGCCAACCTGTACCTACAGACAGAATAACAGAGGGGTAACTTGTCAGTAGTGCCTTAAACATATATTCTTTCAACTTCTGTGGTGGCAACAAGCCTTCCAGTTTGTGTAGAAACCTTTGGGAAATAATTTGGTAAACATAATTTCCTTAGGGATTAATAACGTATTCTGATTCTGAAAACAGACCTTAGCTCCATTTCTGTGAAACCTCTGTAAACTCCTAATAACTTTAAAGTCGCTCAAGTTCATTTTATCATTATCATTATTTATTTATTATTTTGTTTATTATGCCACCGATGGAAAAACAGAGAGGAAAAACCTTTTATTAAAAATCAAATCCAGAGAAAAAAAAAATGCCATCCTGTCTTCCTTCTCCTGTTTCCTGATCAATGTAGCCATTACAAAGACTGTAGCCATGTAAATATGGTTAGTGATATGTGTGTGATATGATATGTATATACGTTTGACTGTGAGATTGTGCAGCTTCTCCATTATAGCATTACACAGATTAAGGAATAAATATTTCCACATTAAAAGTTAGG